AATCTCTTCAACACATTCTTCATTTCTGTCTTTGTAAACAGCAATAGTTCATGACCCACATTTCCTAGTTATACCACAACTAACTGTAATGACCTACTACATATTGACTTTACAGAAGATAACATAGAAAAGGCACTACAAAACCTAAAACCATCCCTATCTATTGGCCCCGATGGATTATGTGCATACTTCTTAAAAAAGCTCTCCTCTGCCATAGCAGAACCCCTAAGCATTAGATATGAGATATCATTCAGAACCAGCTCCTTACCAAACCTATGGTCCTTAGCTACGGTCATCCCTATCTTCAAAAAAAGTGACCCTAGCCTGGTTGAAAACTACAGACAAATCTCACTGTGTTGTGTCACATGCAAAGTCATGGAATCAATCACTAACCAATTCTTCACTCTTCACTTAGAGTCAAACAACCTACTCTCCAAAAACAATTTGGTTTCAGGAAAAAAATGTCCTGCAATCTACAACTCCTACACTGCAAAAATATATGGACTACTCTACTTGACCAAGGTAAAGCTATAGACGCAATTTACATAGACTTCTTCAAAGCCTTTGATTCAGTGGTACATGACAAAGTACTGTTAAAACTAAACTCTTACAGCATTTCCAGATCCCTCCATAAGTGGATTACTACATTCCTGTCAAACACACAACAAATAGTAAAAATAGGGAGCGCTATATCAAACCCTGCTCCAGTTAACAGCGGTATCCCCCAAGGCAGCGTTAGACTCTATATAAATGACCTTTGCGATCACCTTATAAGCAACTGCATCCTCTTTGCGGATGACGTAAAACTATTCAACATCACTGACAATGCTACTATCCTTCAAAGCGACCTTGATTATGTGTCTGAATGGTCAAACATCTGGCAACTCCAAATCTCGACCAACAAATGCTCTGTCCTACACATTGGTAAAAAAAATCAAATACACCAAATACAAACTAGGCAGATATGACCTCGTTGATGATCCATACTCTGTCAAGGACCTTGGAGTTCTCATATCAAATGACCTAAGCACCAGAGCTCACTGTAACAGCATTGCTAAAAAGGCATTAAGAGTTAAATCTAATCTTACGAAGCTTCTCCTCCGGAAATATCAAATTGCTAGCTAGAGCATACAAAACCTTTGCCAGACCAATACTTGAACACAGCTCATCAGTCTGGAATCCACACTGCATATCAGACATTAATACAATCGAGCGAGTCCAGAAATATTTCATGAAAAGAGTACTGCACTCCTCTGCTCGCAACAGAATACCCTATATCACCAGGCTTGAGATTTTGGGCTTGGACAACCTTGAACTACTCCGCCTATGGTTAGACTTAAGTGTAGCACACAAAATTATCTGCTACAATGTCCTACAAGTCAATTACTACTTCAGCTTCAACCACAACAATACAAGAGCACACAACAGATACAAACTCAATGTAAACTGCTTCAAATTGATTGCAGAAAGTACGACTTCAGCAACAGAGTGGTCAATGCCTGGAATGCACTACCTGACTCTGTTGTTACATCCTCTAATCCCCACTCCTTTAACCTCAAACTAACCACTATTGACCTCACCCCATTCCTAAGAGGTCTGTAAGGGGTGTGCATAAGTGCACCATCGTGCCTACCGTCCCTGTCCTACTGTCCCCATTTATTTGTACCTATTTCCTGTATTCTTACTCATGTTTATATTTACATCTATTATCTTGTAAGCGATTGACAAATCAAATAAATAAATAAATAAAATCCTTCATAAATTTCAATTTATTTATTGACATAGTTCATATTTCCAACAAATATAAATAGGTTTCATAAGCAATGGGAAAGCTAGATTAGCATCAAATATTTAGTTTAGCTGAGGAAAATGTCATTCCATTTATTTACAATAAAAATGGCTTTAGATGACTCCTTTATTCTCATTTTTCCACATCTTCCAGGTTTTATTACACGCAAGGAAAATTCTATCGATACAATTCTATCACATTACATTTGAACAACGTTTATTCATATTACTAAAAGGAATTAATTGAATCAAGCAATAGCTGATTGACTGAGGCTAGACCATCTGGTGACAAGGGGCAGCCACAGGGCTGGCCCACCCGATCTGGTTTGAACAGATTGATGGGAGGGGCCCATGCCACTCACTTAACTGAACCAGTGCAGCTAGAGCTAGTGGATCACTGGGAAACAATTTGATTCTAGTGGCCCCCAAAATGACAGATGCAGTCATACTGGGACTCTCCTGGCTAGACAAGTGGGGGGTGGGACAGAAAAATATTGGTGTGCTCATTCTAAATTCTAGCTCTTTAAATTATAAAACATGTTGGCAATTTGTATGAAATCCTAAAGCAAACAATTCATTCTTTGTAGGCACCATAGTTCATATTAGATTGAGGTTTTGCCAATGCACACTTGAACCTCCTCTCTTTTTGCATAATAGTAACAAAAGCAATAGTAATGTTCTGGAACAAAGCTAATCAACTGAGACTCCAATGGGTCATTTTTCCAATTCATTTTACCTGTTCTATTCATTTTTTCCAGAAAAAACTATTCTCTTTATAGGATCAAATTCACTTTTCAAATTTATTTTTCATCATACTCCTGGATTCAATATCTCAACTGTTCAGTTGTTGCTAACTGATTATCTATCTAAACAGATACATATTTTGAAGTGATTTATGGTCTGGAAGTCTACTTGGATTACTGAAACCCCTTTTGTGGAAAACAATTTGAAATAACCATGGCAAAACTCTTTAACATTCACTTACAATTTCCACCAAACAATGCTTTCTCCAGTGCCCTCATAAATCTTCAGTGAACTCTTAACTATGTCACCATACCATATACAGAAAGCATTATACTAAGAAACAGAAACATACAACCAACATGAAAAAATTCCAAATAATAGTCTGTGTATGTCAAAAGTTGCAATTAATTTCCCAACCTCCTTTCCCTTTGAATGCAATTAACATTCGTTTTACTTTTGCTTCTTATTGAAAGTCCTTTCATGATTCACGAGAGGATAATTTATTAATTTATTAATAAACTATTAATTTATTTGATTCTTTTTGTTAGTTTTTATTGTTTTAAATGTGGATTTATATTCTATAAGTCGCCTCGAGTTGCCATGGGCGAATAGGCAGCAATATAAATTCAATAAATAAATAAACAATACATTTAATAAACTGAAGTTTATAGAAGACAAGTTACATAGAGTTTATGTTTTGCGATTACATTAAATATTGTTGAACTCTTTGTCCAGAGTGATTTGACTTTTTATTTTATTTTATTTTGTTAACCACACATTAAACAGATTATAGTTCCCTTTCTCTCAGATACAGAAGGTGTGGAGACTTCTGAAATAGATAATTAATCTCTTTTGCTATCTATAGTTTCATAGTTAACACTGTCTTGGTTGAAGTGTAAAAACACATTCGCACTTTAGAAAACGGGTGATTAGTTAATCAAATGACAATATGAATGGTAGACAAACACAAAAATGACTGCAAGGTGGAGCTATTTATGAGCAGCCACATTTTGTCCAATTTATTATTTATAAATTGCAGTTTCTTGTACTTCGGTAGTTTTGTATTCAATATGGTTCAGTTTCATAATTACGGCCCTGCACCAATTTAATCTAGCAATCTCTCTCTTCCTTTGGCCACATGTTCACTCCAATAGTGAACTGTAATGAGTAGGGCAAGGATTTCTATGACATGTCATATTTTTTTGGAAACCTATATTTGGATTTATAAGAAAGTTAAAAGATATTTTAGAATAATCTGGTGAGAATTAGATACTTTTATTTTGCCTGAAAAGCCATATTTTGACTTTTAAAAAGTGATATGTCATATTTCTGCTAACTTTTGTAAAAAAAAAAGGTCATATTTTGATCATATTTTTGTCTTTGGAAACCCTTAAATTAAGCCAGCAAGTTTAAGCCAGCAAAGAAAGTGAGAATTCACCTGGTTTTTTCTTTTTTATTAGTTTCCCAAGTCAGAGAGTACCTGTATCTATGTAAGAGAGAGAGAAAGAGAACAAAAAGGCTTCTCTCATGACCAGGCCTGACAAAAAGGTGAGAATTTGCCTGTTTTGATTTTTATTTGTTCTATAGCTCAGGTGTATGTATGTGTTTGAGATGGTGGAGACACATGAAAGTTGCAATCTGATTTCAACATGCCTAAAAGTAGATGTCCAGCCAATGTAAAATTATGGCGTGTTGTTCAAGAATTTGGGAAGATTTTCAATAGCGATGATGGTATTTTGTTCTGTAAATTGTGTGAAGTTAAGATATTGGCCCAAAAGCATTTTAATACTCAACAACATTGTGAAACTGTGAAACACAAGAGTTATTTAGCGAAATTTACCTTCATTGAGAACAACAGGTAATATCTACCTTTTGAGAGAGCTTCTTCTTCAACTGCAGGTTCATCAAATATCCAGTCAAAATTTTGTAAAAATCTCTCTACAATGATGGTTACTTCAACTATCACTTTAAGGAAATTGGGTCGTGGTAGCCTTGGGCATTTTTTTTTGAAAAAGTAGTACACCAGGCACTCGATTCCAAATGAATCACTTCCAAGGAAAACTTACATCTCTGCCTGCTATGAAGATGTATTAGGAAAGATAAGTTCTGCTGATGACAACAATAAGATATGGGTTTCAATAGATGAAACATGTAAATGGAATGATATGTGGCCAGTGTTATTATTGGCACTCTGAAATGTGTCAGGCCCTGGTGAAATACTGCTTCTAACCAGGCGTGGGCTTCAGCCGATTCATGCAGATTTGGCCAAACCTGACGGTTCAGCAAACCAGTAGTTCCAATGCCTGGCTGGCCCAGCCCACCCTGTCCCTCCCAGGAATCCCCATGTGGCCCATTTTGGATTGCAGGTAAGTGCAGAGGCTCGGGGAGGGCAAAAAATGGGCCTCCCAGAGGCTCCAGAAGGCCAGAAATGTGTTTTTTCCAGCCTCAAGAGAGCCTCTGAAACATGGGGAGGGTGAAAGTGGACCTCCCAGAGCCTTGAGGAAAGCCTCTGGAGCCTGGGAAGGGTGAAAAATGGGCCTCCCAGAGGCTCTGGAAGGGTAGAAATGGGTCCGTTTGCAGAAGGCTCCAGAAGGCCAGAAATGTGTGTTTCCAGCCTCGAGAGCCTCCGGAACATGTTGAGGGCAAAATGGGCCTCCGAGAGGCTCAGGGAAAGCCTCTGGAGCCTGTGGAGGGCAAAAAATGGCCTCTGGAAGTTCCAGGAGTCTGGAAATGAGCCCATTTCCATCCTTCCAGAGAGCTTCCGGAGCCTGGGGAGGGCGAAAACGGGTCCCTCTGGCCTGTTTTTGCTCCCAGGGTGGTTCAGGAGGCCAACTAGGCCACATACACCATGGCCATGCCCACCCAGCAACCGGCAGAAAACTGGTTGTTAAATTCTTTGAAGCCCACCACTCCTTCTAACATGAAATTCTACAAAAAATAAACAGTTCCACTAGTGCTATCTTCTTTGATGATTTTATGAAACTGCTCTGGCCGGATGGAAAGAGAAACATCTTTCTCTTTGTAACAGATGCTATTCGATACATGACTAAAACAGCCAAAGGATTAAATGTCTCTAATTTGAAATGGGAAAAAATGTTTATTAAGGAGTGTTTCATACAGATATGTCTTCTATCTATCACTCTTCCTTTTAACATTGCCTTCTGTCCTCTCACACAGAACAATGGGTTGTGTGTATGTATGTATATATGTATGTATGCATGTATATGTACACACATATACATATACGCACATGTATATACACAGACATATGTACACACACACACACACACACACACTGAGCACGTTTGTTGATTGTACATGATTCTTACCTGGTGGGATGCAGGCAAAGTATATTAGATTTGTTGAGCCTTCAAAGGTAAACAAGGTCAGCAAACAGCAGTTGTTAAGAAATATTGGTATGTGTTTGTACCTATGTGTGTGTATGAAAACAATATCATCAAGGAGGATAGCAGTAGTGGAATTGGCGGGTTTTTTTGTAGAGTTTCACATGTTAGAAGCAATACTGGTGTACTTCTCAAAAAAATTTAGGGCCACATTCATGCCTGATTAGAGCATGTAACATGAAATCCTCCTATAACCCCTCTCTATTTCCACATATACCTAATACAAGGTATGCTGCCATATACACTGCTCAAAAAAATAAAGGGAACACTTAAACAACACAATGTAACTCCAAGACAATCACACTTCTGTGAAATCAAACTGTCCACTTAGGTAGCAACACTGATTGACAATCAATTTCACATGCTGTTGTACAAATGGAATAGACAACAGGTGGAAAGCATAGGCAATTAGCAAGACATCCCCAATAAAGGAGTGGTTCTGCAGGTGGTGACCACAGACCACTTCTCAGTTCCTATGCTTTCTGGCTGATGGTTTGGTCACTTTTAAATGCTGGCGGTGCTTTCACTCTAGTGGTAGCATGAGACGGAGTCTACAACCCACACAAGTGGCTCAGGTAGTGCAATTCATTCAGGATGGCACATCAATGCGAGCTGTGGCAAGAAGATTTGCTGTGTCTGTCAGTGTAGTGTCCAGAGCATGGAGGCGCTACCAGGAGACAGGCCAGTACATCAGGAGACGTGGAGGAGGCCGTAGGAGGGCAACAACCCAGCATCAGGACCGCTACCTCTGCCTTTGTGCAAGGAGGGACAGGAGGAGCACTGCCAGAGCCCTGAAAAATGACCTCCAACGGGCCACAAATGTGCATGTGGCTGCTCAAATGGTCAGAAACAGACTCCATGAGGGTGGTATGAGGGCCCAACGTCCACAGGTGGGGGTTGTACTTACAGCCCAACACTGTGCAGGACATTTGGCATTTGCCAGAGAACACCAAGATTGGCAAATTCGCCACTGGCACCCTGTGCTCTTCACAGATGAAAGCAGGTTCACGCTGAGCACATGTGACAGACGTGACAGGGTTTGGAGATGCCGTGGGGAACGTTCTGCTGCCTGCAACATCCTCCAGCATGACCGGTTTGGCAGTGGGTCAGTAATGGTGTGGAGTGGCATTTCTTTAGGGGGCCGCACAGCTCTCCATGTGCTCGCCAGAGGTAGCCTGACTGCCATGAGGTACCGAGATGAGATCCTCAGACCCCTTGTGAGACCATATGCTGGTGCGGTTGGCCCTGGGTTCCTCCTAATGCAAGACAATGCTAGACCTCATGTGGCTGGAGTGTGTCAGCAGTTCCTGCAAGATGAAGGCATTGATGCTATGGACTGGCCCGCCTGTTCCCCAGACCTGAATCCAATTAAGCACATCTGGGACATCATGTCTCGCTCCATCCACCTACGCCATGTTGCACTACAGACTGTCCAGGAGTTGGGGGATGCTTTAGTCCAGGTGTGGGAGGAGATCCCTCAGGAGACCATCCGCCACCTCATCAGTAGCATGCCCAGGCGTTGTAGGGAGGTCATACAGGCACGTGGAGGCCACACACACTACTGAGCCTCATTTTGACTTGTTTTAAGGACATTACATCAAAGTTGGATCAGCCTGTAGTGTTTTTTTCCACTTTAATTTTGAGTGTAACTCCAAATCCAGACCTCCATGGGTTACTAAATTTTATTTCCATTGATAATTTTTGTGTGATTTTGTTGTCAGCACATTCAACTATGTAGTGAACAAAGTATTTAATAAGAATATTTCATTCATTCAGATCTAGGATGTCTTATTTTTGTGTTCCCTTTCTTTTTTTGAGCAGTGTATTAAGTAGAAATACAATAGATGTCTTTTTCGAATTTCTCTGCTGTTTCCATCATTCATTATGATGGATGATGATAGCAATACTATCTTAAGTGCCCTACCTTCTCTGAATCCAGTTTACACATCTGGGCTTTGTCATTCAATGTATTGTTAATTCATAGTTGCAAAGTCCTGAGTGCTATCTTACCGGTCAGATAAGTGGAACGCTTCAATTCTTTGAGCATTCTTTATACTATCTTTTTTGATATTACAATATAACTTGGAAAAAATACCTTAAATATAACTTGAAAAAAAAGTTTAATTTTTTTTTCTGAATTCCTCGGCCACTGTTTTTTTGCTATACATATTTACAAACTATATGAAGCACATTAATTACACTACTTTGTAAGATTCTAAACAGTTACCTTGTATTTTATCAACTTCTCAAGCTCTGTTGTTAGCAACATTTTCTAGGGCCCATGTACTTCACTTCCAGATGTGAGGCTTTTTGTTGATTAAGTAAAACTCTTTCGAAGTATGTAGTCCATTTGATTTCCATGGAGATTCTTAGTCATCTAGATCATGGTTATTCCAAAGGTGCTTTTTTAAAAGGCAATTTGACTTTGTTTTTCCTTGAAGACATTTTGCTTCTCATCTAAGAAGTTTCTTCAGCCTCTTCAGAAAAAGCTCCTTTGGGACATCCATTTGATTTCATTGATATCCATCTGATGATCTCTTTATATAAAGTTATATTTTATCTTAAAAAATATTTTCAAGAGAAATCTTATTACTATATCTTTGCAGAACATTGCTAGTCTATCAGTTTCATATACAAAATCCCAATTTTTCTGTTATTCCAGATTATTTACTACTGATTTTAGCCTTACATGCAATTAATATTAAGCTTTTTTGTACTGTACTGATATTGTATTGCAAATTAGCATAGAACTATTTAGTATTGGTGTTCTTACTATTTATGGTTAGAGCATAGACTGGGATTAACATCGTATTGAAAAATTTGCCTTGGACTTCAATTGAGCATAATTCTTTAAAACAAGAATGCATGATGTCCCCTATCTACAGATAACTGCAAAACAAATGTTGCCTATGAAAGAGTGCTATTAGAAGATTGAGAGTATGAATGTATGTGTACTTTTTATGCAGAAGGCACTGTGCTGTTGACTGAGGTCAGGTATTTGTAGTGATACAGTAAGAAATAAGATACTAAAAATTAATGCTTCAAAAATATTGTATTGCATAAGAAATATTGTACCAAAAGTTAATTGTGAAAGATGCAATAGCTGTGCTTAACAGAAAGGTAAGAGTACAAGGTATGCAAGAAACAAGAGCAAGTAAATTACATTATGTATTATGTAGTTTCTTGTGAAGAAACAATGTAGAAGGAAGTTAAGAATTAAGAATAAATGGGTATTGAATGAATATACACTGAACAGAAAAGTGACTGTCAACTCTAAATAGATTCACCTGGTTTGAAATACAGAAAATTAAATCTGAGTTGCAAAACAAACATATGAAATGAATTGAAGAGAAAAGATAACAAATAAATTCATTTATTGAATCTTTCAATTTGATGAAATTGTTAATCCTGAAAAATTAGGATTTTTTGGTAGGCTATGAAAAGTGACCTAAAAAAACCTAAGCAAGGTCAGGCTAGAAAAGTACCACCACCAAATCCTAGCCTTGTAAGCTATAGGAAAGTCAATAAACTATCCAGAAGATGGTGACAACTCCTTGCATGAAACTGCATGAATTTGTCCCTATATCCCCTTAAAAGTTGTTAGTGCCAACTTCTCTCAGTCTTTCAATCCGCACACACATCTGGGGACTTTTCCTGAAAAGGGAGAAGATGCCACATTGATTCTTCAAACTTCTCTTTTCTCAGCTTAATGTCAGATTCTCAGTCATCCAGATCATGGTTGTCCCAAAGGCACGTTTTCAAGAGGCAATGGATTTCCTGGTTTTCTTCGAAGACGTTTCGCTAAAGAAGCTTTTTGGATGAGAAGCAAAAAGTCTTCGAAGAAAAACTAGGTTACAGCGCTCGCTCTCCCAGGTCAATACCCTCCAATACTTAGGGGCCGCTGCTTCGCACTTTCTGCGGGACCGCTCTTCTCTACCCCGCTACAGAATCTCTTTGACGCAGGGGCGGTACGAGCGCAGGAGGATGTTTTTGTATGGTGACGTAGAGGACAAAGGCTGTAGAGGTCGCGTTTCCGGGGCTGTGAGTTTGCGTATGGATTGTTTCCTGCTTCGAGCAGTAACTGCTCCTTAAGGCAAGGAGCTGCCGATGGAGTCTGTCTGTAGTACTGCAGGTAGGGGCAGTTATTTCCCCTGCTATTTATGCACAGGACTCACAGTGTGGTGAAGGGCTTCTACAATCAGCAGCACTGCCCTTTCCCTCTCATATGTTGTAATTCTGCTTTTATTTTTCTCTGAATTTACACTGGGGTTTTCCAGATAGTTTGGGATTGTGGTTCCCAGCCAGCAAGGAATAGACCAGGCTGGATAGAAAGGTGGAGAAAATATTGAGGTTATCAAAACAATGCTTTAAACATCCCATGCTTTTCCTAGTAAGCAGATTTCCAGATTCATTGTTCCATTCTTGAAACTCTGGATTATTAAGTCATTAGGGACTGAAGTTATATTAAAGAGGCAGTGTTGCTTTTTGACTCAAGATTTGTGAGTGGTTTTAGTGCTCCCACGTTTCACTTTCTAGCGGGCAAAAATGATGTTGACCAAGGAAGATTATTTTCATTTATATTAAGTCAGAATGCAGCAGTTTTAACCTATTTGTGTTCCCAAATGATCAGAATGATTACATATATTACTCTTTAAACAATACAACAATTTAACTAAAAATATAAAAAGAACTATCCTAATCTTGAGTGGGAAGAGAGATAATATAAAACTATGTTAAAACATTATTTTTATTAGGAATCTCCAGGTTTACAGAATACTATGCAAACTTGAGTTTCTGAGGGAATGATCTTCATCAGATTAGAGTTGGTTGAAGTAAAGGCATACAATGTGGCTAAGGGCAAGGGTGGCTCAGAGATAATAGATTTCTAAGGGAGACATATGTCTTAAACAACTTTCAGGTGTGTATGCTAGTTTGTATGCTACAAATATCCCTCAGTATTTATAAACTGTATGATGCTGTGATAACATTGAACATGTTACATTGATTGGGGACTGCTTTTACCTCCCTCTTGCTTTTTCTTCTAAGTTGTTGCTAAAGTTTTATTTATATGTTTTACTTAACTTCTATGGTGCCTTTTTTCCAAGCCAGAATGCCATTGCTGAAAGAAATATCCTGTACAAAGCTAGCCTGGCAATCAAACAAATTATGTATGTATGTATGTATGTATGTATGTATGTATGTATGTATGTATGTATGTATGTATGGTATTCAGTTTTGTTCGGGTATTTTCCCACATCATTATAGTTGTGCTTTTAAAGTTGTAGCAGCGTTTCGGCAGATGTATGGCATCACATCAAGACTGCCTTCAAAACAGACAGAAAAATAGCAGCCATCCTTAGAAACCCCAAAGATAAAATTGACCTGGAAAACCAAGGCATATACGAAGTCCCCTGTGCATCATGCCCGGCCACATACATTGGACAGACCAATAGAAGAATAAGTACCCGCCTGGATGAACACAAAAATGCAGTAAAAAAGCTGGAACACACTTCCTCACTAGTCCAACACATGAAAGCCACAGGTCATAGCATCAACTTCAATGGCACCAAAACCCTAGCCACTATAGTAAACCCCAGCCACAGAATCATCAGAGAAGCCATAGAGATTGAAAAAAGACCTGAAAGCATGAATAGAAGAGATGATTCCACCAGACTGTCAATTATTTGGAAGGCTGCACTCACAAACAAAAAAATATCCACACCACAAGCCAGGCAAACACCTGGGCACAAACAGATCCCCCCTGATACCTCCAGCTCAAACATACCCCAACCAGGCACCCAGATGAAACCTAGCTTCCTAACAAATGATAGCCGTCCATTTACTCGGAGCCAAGCTGCACCAAAAGCCTCCAATACAGGAACACAATGTTGCCAGCCAACCAAGACAAAAAAAGCCACAAAACAGACAGAAGATATTAGAAACACCAATCAAGCAGAACACAGGAAACTCCAAGACCAATAAACACAGTCCAAGACTCCCAACCAATCAGGATGAAGAAAAAACCATTCTGGCACAGCAGTAGGCTAGCCCCAAATTTAAAACTGAAACAACTGTAAAAGTCTGACTCACAGATGAACACGATACAGAAGCCTGATGATGGCAGATGAGATTCTGCCGAAACGCTGCTACAACTTTAAAAGCACAACTATAATGATGTGGGAAAATACCTGAATACCATACATGTAAGTACCCGCAAAAACTTAAGAAAACATATACATATGCATATACATATACATATACATATACATACATACATATACATATACATATACATATACATATACATATACATATACATATACATATACATATACATACATACATACATACATACATACATACATACATACATACATA